TAGCAAGCCACATTGACAAAATCACACCAATCTTGTTATCATTTTACTGAATGTATTCATCACCCATTCATTTGATACAACGTAACCTATTCTGATTTGCATTTATATCTCTAGTTTTATATCTCAAATAGCTGCTTTTATAACATCACAATATAACACTCTTCTTTATCATGTTTTTACACCTTGATAAGCTATGATTTTTGGATATATTTAAAACATAAGGTAAAAAAGCCACATGTGATCTTGTATCCTTAAGTCTCTAATTGAATTTGTACTGTATCATTTTTTTGAGCTAGTTTAATGGACCTACGTAGTTTTTAACACCTTGTTTATCAGCATGTACACCTCTCCTATACGTATCATCTGTATTTACAGTACCTAAATGATTTATTTGTGGTTACCTCACTAATTCAGGTACCAAAAAGAGGCATCTATTCCTTTTAATTATGCAATTGTTCTAACGTGATAATTCACAATTTGGATTATAGATTAGAAACACAAAGTAATAAGACCAAATCCAAATATATAATGTTTGATGTTTTGCTAATAGCATTGTTATTATCATATTTCAGTACTCTCTACTGAAGATGGTAATATTGCTGTTACAGAAATGTCAAACACTATTTATTTATTTGGATTTGGTCTTTATACCTTGTGTTTCTATTGTTATAATTAAAAGGAGAGATATCTCTTTAGTGGTACCTGAATATTATCTTTCTGCAACTCTTTATAATGTAATATGGTTTAGGTACATTACTTTTAGGTTTCTCCCTTATTGTTTTTGGTAGCTGATTAGGAATTTGCTGTTGAACTTTGCTACTATGTAAATAAGGGAAGAAGTGTTTATCTCACTTCATTCCTAATGTAAAATTTCTAATTGGCTCGTTGCTTTTTTTTTTTATGTCTACACTTTTCATATCTTGGTAAATGTCATTTCACCCTTTACTTTCTTTTTTTTTTTTTTTTTTTAACCTAGTCAATCTTTCTTTTTTCCTTGTATATATAAACCAAAAAATCTGTATTTTAAAAAAAGAGAAAATTTAAAGAATAAAATACTTTCTCAATTGTTTTTTTTTTCTCTATTTTTCATTTTTATCAGGATGTTTATTTGAATTGGGTGTAAAAATACTTTTTGTTTGTGTGTGTCTTTTATATACTGTTGCCCATTGTCTATAAAAATTTTTTTTTTTTTTTTTCATATTAGCATACATTATGCTCACAAATCTTTTTTTATGATTTTTTTTTTCATAACACTTTCTATATAACACATTTCATAACACTTTATATCCATTTGATCACCTTTTAACTCTGTTGTGTCTCCTCCCAGTATTAAGTCACACACGCAGCTGATATCTACTGGTCAATTTCTCTTTAATTGCACCGTTAATGTCATATATATATTTACATATTAATAATAAAAAAACATGCAAAATACATACAGATGTTTAACAATTTACATACACAACAAACTTTAAACTTTTGTATTTAGTATTTTTGTATTGTATGTTTTTAGAAACATTAAGACCAAATTAATGAATTGTTTATGAAAACAAAACATTTTATTATTTTGATTTGTTCTTATAACCTTTTGTTTCTAATCTATAATCCTGACTCATTGTTGTTTATTTTTATTATTTCTCTACTTTTATTTAATAATGATTTTGTAAATGTTGTTGTTTCTTATCCCGTTGTGTAAAGATTACACGAATTTCATGAGTTCATGCTCCTCAAGCTGTTTTATGATAAGCAGCGGCCTCTCCCAAAAGTCCTGTTTAGTGCATCTAATACAAGCCGTGTTCTGGAGCTGCAGGTGCCAAGCTACATTTTGGGCAAGTAGGGTAGATATTGTTGTTATTTTCTATCTTCAATGGCTTGAGCTGGTCTGTTCTAAATCTTGTTAGTGTTGTTTGATGCTGTCTATTTCTGATGTCCAGAGCTCCTCCTGGGTTCACTCCACTGTACTAACTGTGGTTTTGTATAATTGTAGATATATATATACACCTATCCCCGATTTACACGGTACGTTCCTGAGAAAAACGTGTAAATCGAAAATTAAAAATTTTTAAAAATTAGAAATACAGACACAGTGTGCGTGTGCAGCAAGTCAGCATATAAGCTCGGGATTCCTCGTGAGATGTGTACACAGCGCATGTGTTCAATCACAGTAGCATTTAGTATAGTGCGATAAAAACAAAAGAAAAACTTTTTTGGAAAACCGTGTAAAAGCGAAAACGTGTAAAACAAGTGTCGTGTAAATCGGGGGTATAGAGATATGAATCAGAAGGTAACAACCTCAAATCCAAAAAAAACTATTGTTATAGAGCAGTAAAACTTTATAAGAGGACACCTTTCTACAAAAGAATAGTTGTCATCATCAAAATTACATTTTTTTACTAATTAGCGACTTTCCAGTAAGAGGATATCTCTCTCTAAATGACACTTTGGTTCTGTAACTAGGTGTTTTCCTTTAATTAGAGGTTTATTCTACTGTATATGATAAACATTATTAACACAATTATTTAAATGTGATTTGTAAGTGCAAAGTTGAATTGCTTTTCACATGTGTAGTCATGTGGTGCACTTACAGTAAACTTCATCGCCAACTTCTACCCACCATGATTATCATGGCCTGTACCACGTGTACTAGGGATAAGCAAAAAAAAATTAAATGTGAGGGTTTTGGTTAGGGTAAACATTGTTACTATCCACAGAAAATGATTAGAGTGCATGGATCATGGTGTCATGATCATTGAAACCTAAACCCCCATTCCTTGACTGCTTGAGAAACATTGACTCATGGAATTTGTGCAATCTTTGCACAAGGGGATAAGAAAACAGAAAATGATAAGTTATAATTTGATTATAGATTAGTAGCATAAGGTAACAAGATTAAATAAATCCAAATAAATAAATAATGTGAAAATTTGAAACTATTATAGACATGTATGATTCTTTTAAAAATTAAACAATTTCTACTGCAATGGAAATATTAATGGGAGGGCCTGGTTCATCAGTGGTGAACCCTCCCAGATTTAAAAGAATCATAGGCGTCTATAATAGTTTCGAATTTGCATAACAGATGGCGCGCAAATGTATCATAAAATAAATAGTTACGTTTCAATAACTGTTGTTACCAAAATGTCTCACTATTTATTTATTTAGATTTGGTCTTATTACTTTAGGTATCCACAGATAAGAATAAATGACTGAACACAAAGACTTGACTACTGTACTTTCTACTGACTGATAGTATTGTTGTTATGAAAACATATAAATAAGCTATTTGCATATGTAGGTGTTGCCTTGCCGTTCCCTACGTACATATTTACTACCTTAAATCTTTATTTAGTCATACTATATTTTTATTTCTGTAAATTTACTTAAAAATAGATGTGTATTTTTTTTTTTGCTTCTTGTTAAATAATAAAATATGTTATATAATACTTTTCTCTCTTTTTTTATTTAATGAAAATTTGTATTTTGAGTTTACACTAAATATGTTGTTGTTGTTTCTTATCCCCTTGTGTAAAGATTACACAAATTCCATGAGTTCATGCTCCTCGAGTTGTTTTATGATAAGCAGCGGCCTCTCACAAAGGTCCTGTTTAGTGCATCTAATGCAAGCCAAAATGTGTTCTGGAGCTGCAGGTACTAAACTACATTTTGGGCAAGTGGGATAGATTTTGTTGTTATATACTAAATATCGCAATAGATTTACATACCTCAGAAATGAATTATTCAATTGGAGTAGGAATTTACATATTGTAGAAATTTAAGACGAATAATCCTTTCAATAATTATAATAACGAATAGATTCAAAAAGGATAAGTTTCTTTATTTGAAAAATCAATTCGAGCTTTCGGGCGCAAGCTGCCCTTCTACAGGAATAATGGATACAATTTCAAGTAATCATGTATGTACAGTTATATATATTTTATTTAAATTTTGATTTAAACTAAATCACGCGGGCATGTGATCCACTCACGCTATACAAGACCAAAGCGAGAAACCATTTAAATAAAATAACTGTACATACATGATTACTTGAAATTATATCAATTATTCCTGTAGAAGGTCAGCTTGCGCCGGAAAGCTCGAATTGATTTTTCAAATAAAGAAACTTATCCTTTTTGAATCTATTCGTTATTATAGTGTAGAAATGCTTTGGACATATGAGAGTAAATAGTTTAGAAAAGATGTTGATGATAGGAAATATTCAAAGGAAGAGAGGAAGACCTGCAATAAGCTGGCTAGAAGGGGTCAAGAAAGCTACCAGAAGGTCACTAGATGAACTGTGAATGATGATCATTAACACATCAAATTGGAGAGTGTCTGTCCACATAGTCATCAAGGTTGACTTGATATAAACTAACAACAACAAGGATAACCTCAAGATAAGCAACTTAATAATACTTTAGCATTTTTGATAATGTGAGCCTATGCAAATAAGTTAGTCTTTACTTATTAGTATAACTAGACGAATGGCCCGGGTTTTACCCGAGTGCGTATATATTTTAAAAACGTTTTAATTCAAATACTATTCGTTACAATTATAAATTGGCGCCATGGATGTCACTCTTGTGAAACGTCCCGTTCCAAACTGTGTGTTTTTAAAATGTTTTAATTAAAATACTATTTGTTTATACAAATTTATTTTTATTCAAATATTAGTGCTTTTTATAATGGCTATCTCCTTGATGTTACCAATTTAAAAGTTTATTTTCTAATTTTTGATTGTATAAGAAACATATTTTCATTTAAGTATTGTACTTTATGAACGGAAAAATGTGTCCAGGGTAGCCTAGTGGTCATGGCATCTGCCCGGTAAGCGGAAGGTCGTGGGTTCGATTCCCATCCCTTGACACTTTTTTTATTTTATCCATTCTGACCAAAATCTATCGGTGAATTTCACACAGTGAACTTCACACAGACAGAATAAGGCAATTATATAATATGCATAATTATAAAGATAGAAGCTTCTATAGAAATAACTAAAATAAGCCAAAATAGCTCAGTTGGGAGAGCGTTAGACTGAAGATCTAAAGGTCCCTGGTTTGATCCCGGGTTTCGGCATCTTTTTTTAATATTTTAATTTTTTAAAACGATGACAGAATTGATGACTGACCAAAATCTATCCGTGAACTTCAGACAGTGAACTTCACACAGACAGAATAAGGCAATTATATAAGTAGATTATTTTATATAATTTTATTGAGAAATCTCATTTAAAACATTTGCATCTATGTATGCAATTTTTTTTTATTGTAAGTGTATATGTATGATAAAGAAAATCTATGAGTATAATAAGACTGTATTGAAATACAGTAGAACCACCTCTCTGTGAAGGACAACACCTGAATCTCATACTGGAGAGTCCCTTCTTCTTTCTTATCTCTACTCAATCATATTAAGGTATCAAGCTTGTAAAGCTTGTTGATGGTGTCTGCCGGGGAAGAGTAGAGCTCATCAATGGATGAGTCAATACAGTCAATAATGTGTTTTGGGGTTTGCAGGTTGAGAATTGCACTTAGTACATAGTGGGAAAACCACATTCTGGAAAGTCATTGTCCGTAGATGACCAGACTTAAGTTTAAGGAGAGTCCCTAATTAGCAAGAGTGGTAATTTTGGTAAAGAAAACTGTTGAGAATGATAAGGCACAATTTATACTTTTGTCAGAAGATGGTAACAACGCTGTTACCAAAATGTCACACACTATTTATATATATATATATATGTGTTTTGGGGTTGCAGGTTGAGAATTGCACTTAGTACATAGTGGGAAAACCACATTCTGGAAAGTCATTGTCCGTAGATGACCAGACTTAAGTTTAAGGAGAGTCCCTAATTAGCAAGAGTGGTAATTTTGCTAAAGAAAACTGTTGAGAATGATAAAGCACAATTTATACTTTTGTCAGAAGATGGTAACAACGCTGTTACCGAAACGTCACACACTATTTATTTATTTGTATTTGGTCTTATTACCTTGTGTTTATGTCTGTTGAGAAGTGTCCTTTAACAGTGAGTTTCCTCTCATAAAGTTTTATCGTATCTCCAAGTACCATCTCCAATATCACGGAATGTCATTTCACCCAAGAGAAGTCAATCCATGTAAGACAACTTTCCAGGATATAAGGTTGATAATATAGAATCAAATATGAGACAAATAGATCAAAATAAGAGACAAATTAATGTTTAATCACAAATGCAACTTTTACATTTTTTAGTGTAAGATTTCAGCAATTTCCTGATCTCTATTTAAGGTAAATAATGTTTATGACTTAACTTGCATCATATAATTTCAAGTACAGTTGAACCTCTCAAGGACAATACCTAATTGTAGAAGGAAAATATCCTTTAGAGAAAGGTGTCCTTTTAATCAAGAGAAATTATTTGATAATTAATTAAAAATAGTTTTATAAAATAAATTTTTATTTAAATATGCACTAAAAATTAATATTTTAGTTTCCACCAATTAACAATTAGATTTAAACAAGGCATATTTCCTGATTGTGGACCTGATAGGAATTTGGTATTTCTCAAGATGTATGTTGATCAATTTAAATACAATAATAAACTCCGCCATTGCCGGTCCCAAGCCCGGATGGAAGGAGGAAGGGGACCAGTAACAAGCTCGTTAAAAAACCAGGGTTCAGTTGGCCCGACTGATAGCACCCTGTAAGGGCTCCTATTCTTGGGTTACAGGATATTCAGCAGCGTCTGTTCTCCATGTTAGGAGCGGCTGCACAGGGCGTCTGTTCCTCATGTTAGAGGCGGCCATTTAATACCAGGTCAAAGTCCAAGTTACACTCTCTGTAGGTGACCTCGGGGAAATGTTGGATAAAACCAGCGCTCTAACGTAACTGGCATATAACCTATATGGAGTCGTGCACAAGAGTTCTTGAGCTTCTTTACGAGCACGACCTCCAAGATCTTGTCTAATTTAGACTAAAAGGATAAGTAAAAAATATATATATACAATAATTCTTGCCCAGGAATTTCCAGCAGCGCAACAGCCTGTGGTACAACAATACTCAGTGATTGTAGACACTCATCTATCCCATCACCGTCCATGAAATTGTACGAAGTTTCACACCGACCTGGGAGATGTGTGTGTGTTTACTTCTACCTCCCTCTCGTTACAGTCCTTAGGACTTTATTGAAATTTAGTTATTTGAACAACCTTGGAATGGTCGTTGGAGAAGAGTGATTATCTTGCTTAATTAAGAGTCAGTTTTGACTGTCTACCTGTGAGTTGTTATGTCACAAAGAAATCACCAATAGAACAAAGAGTGGGAATGTTTGCATAAATATCATACATTGCAGAGAAGATGTCAAGGAAGAGTGATGAATACCAAAGAAGATCCAATCTAGCGGGGGTAAAGAAAGGTGTTTACTGGCAGGTTGGCGAAGACCATTGGTAGAGACCGGGTGGAACATAGACCACGACAGATGTATGGAATGAAACAAGCGACCAACAGTCCCGGACAATATGGTGAGGACACTGTCCTGGCAACGACGGCCTCAGGAAAAACGTAGCAACCATGGTGGAATGGTGCTATTACTGACAGTTGATCAACGCATGAAATCAAGAAAGAGCCTGACAGAAGTGGACAGAACCAGTGTAACGTTGGTTGGAGGAACTCCTGGAAAACACAGCGGAGTTAAGTTAGCTAGCTAAGGTCCAGGACTCTTTGGCCTTCATCGCTCGTTCCTAAATGAACTGGCGTTTTCTTTTACGTTATCAAATCAAGAGAGTTTATTAATACCACTGATAAATGTAAATGTGCGATATTGATTTAAATAAATTCAGTGTCAAATATCGATAACATTCCTGTAACAACATTTGCCATGACATGAATGTGTTCATAATGTTAGAGCGGCACATATGTGGCAAAGACAAACAAACTTCAAAACTTCGAACATCTACTGTAGAAACTGGTAGAAATTGCTGAATGTTTTGGAATCCTGAAATTTCTTGGGAATTTCTCGCGCCACATCAGAGTTGATTTCATTCTTCCAGACATCATTATTAGCTTGATAACCATCCTCACTGGGTACGTCATTTTCACCAATATAATTGGCGGTTGAGCTAGTTCAAGATTTTGTTCTTTGAATTGCATATCTCCCAGAAGCTGATATTGAAGGGCGCGGCTTCAGAGTTTGCATATATCCCAAATGGTTGTAAAGAACCTCCCAGCTTTAAGGTAATATCACGCAGATACTGGTATTGAAGGGGGCAGCTTTAGTTGCATATATTCCAAATGGTGGTAAAGAAGGTCCCAGATTTAAATATATATCTCCCAGAAACTGGTATTGAAGGGGGCAGCTTCGGTTGCATATATTTCAACTGGTGGTAAAGAAGGTCTCAGAGTTAAGTACATATCTCTCAATGGCTAGCATTGAAGGAAGGATGGCAGTCCATATAAAGAAAGTACTGGTCAACAATTGGTTCAGTCCAATCTTGCTCCATGGCCACAACAAACAACGCCGCGTTGCCTGGCTCTATAACACAAACCCACTATGAGCATTTGGCCAACATATCGACATTAACACCTGGGTTATAATAAATTTTAAAAGGATCTTAAATTTTCTCTGCCACATTTACATTGTGAAATGAAAGCTCGACGTAGAGTCAACCCACCTGAAATTTTGATATAAAACCATATCTCTACAGGTATTCAATTGCACCAGCCACACTTCTATCTTAAAATTATGCCATATTATTTACAGTCCTTTCCATCTTTTGACTATTTTCTATATACTACCTTGTCATTGCTTCTAGGCCTTTTGGCTAAGATCAAAGTGTGACACGTATTACCTTGTCATTTATTGGGAATCAGCTGAAAATCGTTTTTAGATCAAAGAAAGTTTTTACAATTCAATAAACAACCTTTCCCCAGGCACAACCCACCCACACAAACAAACCGACAATCAAGAACTTCATTACATCTCACTTGTTACATCTGTGAACTAGTCAAAATAATCAGTAAAAAAGTAGTTAAATTAGTTTAATACAAAAGTCAGGGAAGTGCTTATTTGCAACTGGTAATAAAACTTTGATTTATTTCCTTAAAATCAAAAAGTGTCTCCACGAACAGTTCGATGACGTTTGCAGAAGCTCGGCGATCGTGACTTCGATTACCCTTAACGCCAGAAAAAGCCAACCACGAACGCGTTTCGTGCTGTTGGCCCTCGTCAGCGTGATGCAGACTGTACCACTCAGGTAATACAAACATTAATTTTTATCTTGTATTATTTATATAAATATGGAGAAATATTATCTATCAATCTATTTTTATAGATTGGGGTTATATTTTATATCCTTTCTGACGCGACTTGTGTTCTGTTTGGCTTAATTGAATGGTACGCATAAATATGCGTTATTAAAAAAAACGCAATGAAAGCGTATATTTTTTTTATAGAAAGATATATTTATAACCCAAGTTCCCGAGCATAGAACGCTAACTACCCAGAAAAGACGTCCGCCACAGGACAATATATTTGTATTTCTTTTCAACCTGAATATATCATCTTTATAATGTGTTACTTATAAAATAAAGCCCTTAGCACACACAAATATACGTATATGATTTAAATTGAATATTTATTGAAATACTATTAATAATTATTGATAACATACACACAAAGAAAAATATTTAAAATAATTATTTAAAAAATTATATATATATTTCTAATAGAAATATATAATAAAACATTTTTCAATTTTTTTAATGTTCAGTTCCATTTAATTATTGAAGCAATTTTCTTATTTAGTTGTTTAACGTACATTTCTATTAATTTTTTTATTAATTTTTATTTTGATGACCTAAAGTGGCCGTTGTTTTAAATGCGAGGTAAATATCCTTGTTTAGTTTATTTAAAAATGTTGATTTAATTAGAGAAAGCCGCCTCAAACACATTTATAGATATTAAATATATATATATATCGATTATAAATATACTACAAATTAGAATAGAATTAAATATTTGTGATAGCTATTGTGTTTGCAAACATATATGTTAAATATTTTATAGGCTATATTTTGTGAGTATTTAAAACTCTTCATTATAT